GGGTGTGTGACCAGGACAATACAATGGGGGTAGGCAGGGGGGCTTTGGGCCTGTTTTCTCATCAGTACAAAAAGTAGTGTGCAAACCTAGTATCTAAACATAGTGTCACCCCACGGGGCTGTTGTGGAGATGAAATAAGATAGATTTGTTGCCCTCATAGGACTGTGTATGGGTAAGGAGTTTGGACGGTTAAATGCCTTCACTCCTTTGGGCATAGTAAGTCCAGGGCACTCCTGGAGAACCTTGAGCCTGGGTGAGGAGCGGGACTTTAGGCAGATCCACCCTCCCCCCGCCCCCCCATGAGTGTTTTCTGGGCGCAGTCAGAGGGTCAGAGGCTGTGCCTTGCCCATTGAATGCACATTCCCAGAGTGCCTGAGGCCTTGTCGTCCACATTCGCCCAGCCCCTCTGCCACGCTTTGCCAAGTTCATCCATGTCGAACTCCCTTTGGACCAGCATCCCCACAACGGACGCTCCAGTCTGTTTTGACTGATTTCAAGGTGCCTTAAGGGCAACAGGGACCTGAGAGGCCAGCTGTGAGCCCAGCCTTCCGAGTACTGCAGGCAGGAGCTGAAGCCTAGGAGGGTGCTCTGGGCCCCCTGGGAAAGGGCTGTAGGCAGAGTGTGTCCAGGAGTTTCTGGGACGTTAGCTACAGCCGTCCTGGGGGGAGAGGGATGCTCAGAGGGGAAAAGGCAGATCATTCTTAGGCCAGAGGGAGGAAAATATTCTGTCTTCGAGCCACTCCTGCTCCCAGAGCCAGCTTTGGGCCAGTCCACAAGGGGCCAGTCGCACTCTTCTGACCAAAGGTGAAGTTGGGTGATGCTTGCTTGGACTTGAGGTCAGTCTGGGATCAGGGATAGGGTCAACCTGGGACCAGGATTAAGCGTCAGTGTAGGAGTAGGCTCAGGGTCATAGGTGAGACTAAGAACTAGATCAGGGCTCAGTCTGGGGCCAGGGTCAGACGTCCCTGTGGTCAATGAAAGAATGTCCTCTGATGGACTGACTGGGAAGATGGCTGCTGACCCTTCTGCGTCCCAGCCCCTTCACACGAGAACCTGTTCTACAGCCCAGCATTCCTCCTCGCCACGACATGGCTTTCCCTCTTTGTTTCCTAAGGGCTCTTGGGATCTGAGCAGAGAGATGGTTCCAATTAGGAAATCCAGCAGCTATTGCCGTGAGGCCCTGCTGTCCCTGTGGACATTCCCCGCGACCCCACTTGGTGGCTGGGCAGTAAGGACTCAGAATGCCTCCCCCAGGCCCATCCCACGCCCATTGCACACCCGCCCATTAGAGGATGGACGTGCACAAAAGCCGTTCCCTGGATGTGGAGGAGGGGGAGAAGGCAGTGCATCCAGGGAGACTTCTGGGGCTGGGATCCCACAGAGCAGGCACCTCTTGTGGACCCCGGAAGTTGCTGGCTGGAAGGCAGCTATCCCTTGAATTTGTTGACAATGATTCTCTAAGTACACATCCTTCCTCTGTGTGTGCGCTCAGTATTTGCCTGTGCACCTGTCTGCATCTCTACAAGGCTGTGTGCCCCTGCTTTCCGCAGCGCCTGTCTTCACAGGTGGGTTCCGCAGGGTCCTCTTGCCCATTTCACCACCTCAGGGCCAGGACCATGTGATGGGGTGGAGATCAGGTTGGATGCGTAGGGCTCTCCAAAACAACAGGGCCTTAGCAATCTCTCCCGGCCCCATTATCACCAGCTTTGTCGCTACACTGCGGATGGGTGGCCTGGCCTGGCCACTCCTGGGTGCCCAGTCCAGAGCTGACAGGCAAGTGAAACTTCCCTGTTGTGAGAACGTGCCCCAGCTCTCTATTTCTGGGTCCACAGTGGTCCTGACAGGGACTCTGTGAGTCCTGAGCCCCAGGTTGCCTGGGGTGGAAGTCTGAGCCCTTTGGGAGTCTACAAGCAGGCCCTCTAGGGGCAATCTCCCACATGAAAGGAGATGCAGGGAAGGGGAGCAGGAATAGCTTCCCTCTGCATCTGCTGTACTATAACTGTCCACCAGGTGGGGTTCCAGGGCAGAGAGTGAGAGTCGCGATGACCCAGCGCTAGGAGCCAGCGAGCAGCTTTAAAATCTGCGCCCATCCGCAGCAGCTTTGGAAGCGCTCACACAGAGAGGGACAGCACACAGGCTCGCACCTGAGACGCTCGCACACGTCCTCTCCCAGTGAACTCGAAAACCGAACTCGTACCGGGGGCATGGGAGGCTTCCAAAGGGGAGTCTAGTTTCCTTTACACACACACCGTTCTAAACTGAAGGTGGTGGGATAGCAAGTCCTCCGCTCTGGGAGTGCAAAAGTAACAGACAGAGACTAGGGGCTGGGGAAGTAAGACGCACGGGAGAGGGCGAGCCGGGCGCAGGAGCTGATGGCCGGGTTGGCACGCACCGCTCCATGTGTCCTAGACACGCTGGAGGAGAGGCCAGATGACAGACGGATGCAAGGATGCACAGACACACATACCACAGAGAGCACGCAGACCCTGAGGCACACCACAGCTCCCCGACTCAGGGGCACACGCGCGCGCGCGCACGCGCCTGTACACACACACACACACACACACACACACACACGTGCGTCCCGGGGCCACACGCACACCTCGCACAGGCAGGCGCGCCCGGCCCTCTGAGGCCGGCAAGGAGAAGGTGCCGCGCTCCCCCGGCGTGTTTATTTACCCATTTGTATCAATGAACGTCTGTATCCGACTCCTCCCGCCTCCAGAGGCCGGGGCCACCGCATTTGTCCCGGCGTGGGACACTCACCGGGACCGGCAACCCGGCTCCTCCGACGCTGCGGGGGGCGGAGGGGACTTCAAAGTTAGAGGGTGTCGGAGTGTCCCGGCGGAGGGGCTGCAGTGTCGGCGGCCAGGGACGCGGATGGGGAAAGGGGAACGTCGGGGTCTCGTAGGGTAAGAGACCTATGGGGTGGGGGGAGACCTGGTCATCGGAGGGTTGGGGGTGTACGGACCAGGGAAATAGCCGGCGGGGTTCCGCGGGATAGCAGCTCGGGACCCTGCGCACAGGTTCAGGGTTTTCTGGGGCCCCTCAGTCGAGGGGTGGTCCGGCCGAGCCCTCAGCTGCTGGGGCGACGGGCCCTGCGGGACTGCCCAGGGAGGGAGGAGGGGGCCAGGGACACCGGAGGGAGGCAAAGAGGGAGGGAAGTAGCCTTGCAGCCAAGCAGGCACCGTGCGAGTGCGCACCGTGTGTGTGTGTGTGTGTGTGTGTGTGTGTCTCATCTCGTCCGTCTGTAGGTGCTGGGATCAGCGAGACGCCAGAGAGAAGGAAGAGGAGGCGAGAGGTGAACTGAGTTTGATCCTGCGGCGGCTACAAGTGGGTCCCGGGCGGGCGGCGACCGCCTCTATATAAACACACGCATCGCCTGGCTTTGGACTCAAATTCACATTGAGAGAAGCTTTTAAAACTACCAGCCCTGAAATCCTGCCTCCTGCTTTCCCCCCTCTTTCATTCTTTTTTTTTGCCTTCCTTTTCTTTTTTCCCCCTCTTTCTTTCCCCAGCAGCAACTCCAGAGCCGAGAGCCTGCGTCCCGGGACGGACTGCCTTTTCTTAATTGATACAATAGCCCAGCTCGGGTTT